ATCAATAGTAGAATGAATAATTTTTTATCCTTATATAACACAATATATACAGCTTACTGTCGGGGACCAGCCCGACCTGAGGGGAGTTGGACCTGCTCCAGGGAATCAGGACGCGGCAAGAAGAAACCGCTAGGAGGCAGTTCTTCTGGGATCAGTCTGATCAGGACTGAGTCCGAATTTTATTCAAACTCCTTCCACCTTATATACCATTTTCTACAATATTCAGCAATAATCAAATATTTGCTAGGGGCTTTCAAATCGTATAATGCATAATGTTCTTCACAAAAGATTTTTGTTTAGGGTGACAATTGACAACGAGAACTCTGTGTGCCTTACAAGGCGTATATCAAAATAACAGGTGTATGATTTTAACAATAGCATAGCAAACTGTTTTCTATAATACCTAATGATTAATCTATATATTATAAACTACATTGAATTTTACTTAAGGTAAAAATTTCCCTTTTTACTAACCCACTATGATTTAACAAAACAATCAAGATTTATATTAATTATCTTAACTTCTAGTAGTGAAATATTTTTGCTGGGGGCATATGAATCCAGTGATACACATCATATCAAATCTGTATCACAAGATCCACATACTCCAAACAGAATGATTAGTATCAGAGTACACACATTTAAAACAATATCATAACTAACACCTATGATTTTTAGCATCCAACTATATGATTTAATATATGATTTCTTATAAAAGTTCAAATATATAATTTCAAATGATAAGCTGATAAAGCAGATAAAGCACAGATTATACCTAAGAGAAGAAGACAGAGAGGCGCTAGTCTCGGTGTCTCGCATGCTCTAAACTTTGATCTTAAAAGCCTGTCAGAGACGCCGTTGTCAGAGCCTTCTATAAAATGCTAAATAGTGAGAAGCAGAAAACGTTAACCACAGTATTCGACAAACCCAATGTGTACTTTACCATTGAAGTTTGCCAGACACTGAAGTCGATGCCTCAAAGCAGAAATCCAAAGTGCAAAAGTATATCCAATAATAAGGGAAAGTACTAAGGAATCACTCTCCAACAGGCCTGTGACTGGGTTTTATCACTACCATACACAGGCATATTAGAGGGCAAATTTCAAGCAGAAGGAGGTGAAGTAGCAAGCACAAGTTCACATAGTGTTATATATGGATAACTGAACTATGTATATGTATTTCTAAACTTCCTTATAAAATTTCTGGTCTAAGTGAATAAGTCAAAGAGTGATTGTCACACCTTTGGACAAGAAAAGGCACAGTTGCCATGACGATGGCCGGGGGGCAGAGGCAGACTAAGAGTTTTGGCACATAATGAAACTAAGAACGTTCTGCCTGGCTAGAGGTAGGAAAACAAAACTATTAAAGCAATTTCTGCTTACAGAAACAAAGGCTATATGGTTACTACTGAGAAACAGAGACTTAAGAATGGCTCAGAGAGTTAGAGAAAAATGGAAACTTAAAGCACAGAATGTTTTTCTGCTGTAAGGCTTTACCTGAAATTTTAGCCTGACTGTTTAAAAGGTTTACTTTCAAATAATATAAGCTTTTATGTCACATATACAAACTGGTCACTATTCATATACCAACACTATAGGTGTCACTGATGCTTTTGTGTCAAAAGCAGATCTCCATCATGGGCCTTCATAGGCCTCAACTGTATAGCCGTAGATGTTGGCTCCCAACAGCTTACAACTACATATGAAGAGCTAGATGAATCTTATTAACATCTTATTAACAAATGAAGCAAAACAAGAGAATACATATAATGTATTTACATTTAGATAAAGTATGAAAGTAGGCCAAACTAAATTAAATTATTTAGAAGTTCACATGTATATAATGAAATCCTAGTAAATAATTGTGAAAGTTGTGATATTAATTTGCTCTAGCAGGGTTGTCATATTCACTTTTCGGAATTTAGGAGTGCTGAATTTATGTGCCTGTTTGGTGACTTGTGAATTCATTTTATAATTTATTTATATGGAGTACTGTACATTTTATGTTTTATACATGTTTCAGTATATGTCATATTTCATAATTTTGAAAAACAGAGAGGGACTGTAACTTATCAAAATATTGCTTTGAAAGAGAGCAAAAAATTGTGTTATAGTTGATGAAGATAAGGAATTGAGAGATATTTCAAGAGAGTATTGAGTTACATTTAGAAAGGCCCTTCCTTTTGTAGGTTTATAAAAAAATAACCTTGTTTTTTTCTAAATGTATCTTTGTATTTTTGCATTTTTCCTTTCACCAATTTAGGTGTTTTTTTTTTTTGTATTTGAGGTTTAGTTCCAACTTGATATTTTCTAAATGGACATCTGGTTGTCCCAACTTATCAAGAGGTTTATCTTTACCCTACATCATTCCTTTACAGTCTATTTTTGAACTTTCTATTCTGTTCCATTGATGATCAGTGTATTCAAAAGTCATTACTGCATTGTCTCTACTTTTTGGGGGGAATTTCTTTGTCTGCTTTTTTGTATGAATGTTTTATATTGTTTTGAATCTATGCTTTTGATTTTTAAAGTAATTTCCATATATTTTAACACAGTATTTAATATTTCTATGTTTTCCTCAATAAGACAAGAAAGAGAATATCACAAAATGGTTATTAATGTGGAGTCTAAATTCAATAGACTTTCTGAGGCATTGTCCATAATTTAATTTAATCCCTTAACAATAATAGTTGTAATAATAATGGCACTAACATATATTAATAATATTGTTCATAAATGTAATGAAACAATACTAAATGCCTATAGGGATTCTGTGAGCAATAGATAATTATTATAGTGATCACAACTGACACATAATAAATCCTGGATAAGTATTATCTGTTATTAGCAACTATTCATAAAGCTAATTAATAAAGAAATTATTTCAGTTTCCTATTACTACTATAACAAACCTTGTGGCTTAAAGCAACAGAAGCTTATTGTAAATCTGGAAACCAGAAATTTGTGAGGCTAAAATTAAGGTGTTAACCAGGCTGCATTGTAGCTGGAGGCTCTAAGGAAGAATCTACTTCCCTGCTTTTCATTACACTTAAAACTTGATTGGTTGACTTCACAACCATAAAGCCAAGATGATCATAAAATATAGTCTAGTTCTTGGTAACTTCAGGAAACCATCCATGTTTACCATGCAGTGCTTTTTCTGTCTTTTTGCAGCCCATGACACACTTGTGTCCTATGAAATCTTGTTTGAGGATGAGTGGGAGCCAGGGAAGTTGGTGAGGAAGAAGATTCTGTGGGCCGCTGGTAAAAGCAGCATGCCCCTCTGGAGGTTTATGGTGAGGGTGATATAGTAGAAAAAATATTGGGCTGGAATTCAGCTTCTTTTTAATAGAGCCTAGGCTGACAGTACCAAGGTGTGAAACCTTAGAAAAGTGACTTAATTTTGCTGAGTCTCAGGATTAGACAATTTTTTTGAGATAGATTAAAATGTTATCGGTATTTAATTTGGAGACAGAGCTATTCTTTTCAATCAATTCTTCTTTATAAATTGTGCAGCTTGCAAAGTTAATTATAGAATATTGCTAGACACGTGCTCAAATATGCTGATACCCTCTGAAGTTCATTTCAAATCTAGAAATACAACAGAGTAGCACAAGACTTTATCTGATGTGAGAAGCTCTGTGTATTAAAATTCTCCAAAGAACAGAAAAAAGGAACAGACACTAAAATTTATCTGCATTTTTTTTCTTTAAATAAGTTAATATTTTAAGCAACTAAAAGAAAAATCAAGTTCCTATAATTTAACCTACCTGAGAGATTCCTTACATAAGTAAGGAGTTATAAGGGATAGACCATACAGCTTTGTGTAATGTTTCTGTAATTTTTTAAAACATATTTTACTGGAGATATGCAAAAGCAAAGGAACAAGAAGCAAGTACGAAGATATAATAAAGTGTGTTTATATTCTATTCTTAAAGTAACTCTTAGTCTCCTTAGGGAAATTCAAAAGGCTTCTCTATAGACTTTTAACTATTAAGGAAAATATTTAAATGTTTTCCTGGTTAAAACATGTACAAACAGATACATTTATAAAATCTATATAATTTTTAAAAGTCAATACTCTTTCACATGATTGCAACGAATCAAGATAATTTAACTTTAGCACCATAAGCAACCACAAAATTAAATAAATTCCATCAGATTTTTTGGCACATTATATAGCATTCCTTATACCTTGTATCTATAGGGTCTAAAGGATTATAAACATGTCATACACAATTGTTAAATCCAACACAAATTGTTTCAGGTTACAGAATGTCCTGTTAAAGTTATGCCCTTGGTGAGGGGGAACAGAAAGGAAAAAGCTTCTTCTTTATCCCTTAAGCTTATGACACAGTTTTCATGCTGGTAACTTCTTTAATCTTCGGAATGATCTCTATTTTATTATACATGATTGGCTTTCATCTAGGAATTTATGTGTAGATGGTCTACTGTCAGTGCTGAGGAACCACGCCACTGTCCACAGAACAGCAGCCTCCACCCAACTGAGAACAGCACATTGTTTCTACTTTACTCTTGGTGCAACCCTTTGGTGGCATCTAGCCCATAAGCATCAGCAAGAGTGATGCCCACTACTTTAGTCAAGTTCCATTTGACTGAGTCCATGCGGATAACAACTGCTAAGCAACTTATAATATTCTGAGACAGATATGGAAAATTAGACAGTTGACACTGAGATGCAAAAGAAAGTGTCTCCTGATGGAATTATTCCAACAAGTCTAAATGAAGTCAGTGATAAAATGTCCCTTATTATACAATTAATAATATCTTCACAGAAGCAATACTCTTTTAAACTGTTGGATTATTGAGATGTACATTTTATCAGATTCCAGCATCATAACCTTATAACTCTACACAAAAATTTGATGTAATAATTGTAAAGTTTACTTAAGTGTTGATTGCCCCAAGTTCTGTAATTTATTGTTCCTTTGTGTCTAACGTGACAAAGAGTAAGAAAAGGAAACTCTGATGTTTAGCACTTTAGAGTAAGATACATGAATCATCTGCATTAACAGTCCTTTGGAGCTGCTGGACCTCATTATGAAGTCTTCTGTGTTCAGCTTGGATTGACGCCTTGAGCTTTTCAGTCTCTTCCTAAAGAGTGATAAACAGAAAGAAGATGAAGCTTCATTCTGATTGCTTAGGTCTCTCACTTGGCATTACTTATTTTAACCCAAGTAACAATAGATAGTCTCTGAATATCTCTCTTCCGTTCATGTATATCCAACCTACTTCTATAATTATCCATCCTGTTTGTCTTTTTCTAGCTCCAGAAACATTATCATCTCTCGATCCCTGAAATGTTGATGTCCTTGGAATTCCATCTCAAGGCACCCTGTACCCTTAAACTACACAATTTCTTTTGACAATCTTAGTCACATCTTGACTTCAATTCTAGTTCACACACAGGAGAATGTTAGATATATTTCTAAGAGAAAAGGCTGATACAAAAACAGCGTGTCTGGGTGACATCAAAACTAGGTGGGGTGTCTGAGCCTCAGAGAGGGAATTTGTTCCAAGTCACCACAATCTTGATGGCAGAAGTAGAAGAAAAGACTTAAAACACACAAATAAATCATCACAGGTTGTCTATACTGCTCTTTAGGAAAGAACAGCAATCTTAAATATATTTTGAAGTAATTCTGAAAAATGAGTACCTACAGGAAGACTGACCCGTCAGGGGCAAGTATTAGGATGTTATTTGTGTCATTATGTTGCTGACATAGGATTTTCACATCAGGTTTGCAGAAGTAAAAACACTGTAGATCCCAGTCACTGGAAAGGCAGTTGTGCTGACTTGCTAGGCTGTGATATTGGCATTTATTATCTCTTTGAAACCTTATTTATCTCATCTGAAAAGTGAGGGCACAACAGCTTGGCTTCACAATGTATGAGATCAGTTGAGAGAATGCATGTAAAGTGCTTGGTAAATAATATATTATTTATGAAGTGATTGGTAAGCAACAAATGATTCTTGAATGATGGTGAAACTAAATAACAGGATGAAAGAAACTCTGCATGGTAATATGAAATTAATTTAACAAAGCAAAATATTTTTCAGAGTAATTAACAAGTTAACAAGGAAAATGAATTACTTTAGGTTACAGATGCCTTGGTTTTTATTTAACAATTTATAGTGCTAACTCTATGCCAACAACTATTCTAAACACAAAAATTAACTCATTTTACTTTCAAAATAACAATCAAATAGATATCAACACTGTATCCATTTTTACACAAAGGGAAAACAAGGCACAGAGGGGACAGATAACTTGACTAAACTATACGCTTAATAAAATCTGGAACCTGGATTCACACTCGGGAAGTCTGGCTGCAGAGAGCCCTTGCCTAGAACGGTAGTTTCCTACTGCCTCTGGCCGTTGCCACTGCTTCATGCTCTCATTGTTACAAATGAGAGAGAGATGAATCAATTGACAAATACCTGGAAACGACGTTCCTGCGTCCTCCTTATCTCTGTCATCCAATTTTTTCTGGATAGCTCCATCTGTCTCACTTGTTCCTGATGGAGTCTCTCCAGCTGCTTCATTCTTTCCTGGTTCCTCCTTTGGATTGCCTCCAACCTTTGTGCATTAGCCTTTGCAGCCTCCGCTTTCACACATTCCACTGAGGAGAGAGAGGAAAAAGAAGAAAAAGATAAACCCCTCTAGGATTAATGTGCCCCTTCCTTCTGCCTCCTACTCTTATTTTTTATTGTTCCAACTTCATGAAGAAAATTCCCTGAGGTTGTTTTCCCTTCCAGATAATCATTATGTAATTGATCATGCCACACCCAGATATGGCCTTAGGCTCTAAGAAGTGTCTCCACCAGTCTTGCTCTAGTTTAGTGATCTCATTTGGGCCAGGCCATATTTCAGATTTGTAGACATTTCTTTCCTTCTTACATCATTTCAAATTTCTTCTCACCTTTCATCTTTTGTTCCCTTGCTGTGAGAGCCTGGTCTGCCTGAAGGATCACATCACTCATAGATGCCTTGGACTTTAAATATTTCTGCAGAACTTCTTGAGCCTAGCAACCCCAAAGACATGCAGTTAGAAGTAGGAAATGATGATTATGAATGTTGTAAACATCTTTATTTCTTGTTCCTTCCAGCATTTTTTCCTTGAAGGAGCTGCTCAGCCTGCACTCATTGGAACTGCCAACCAAGCCTCTCCTGTCACAAGTTTTGGTATGACTCCATGATCAATCAGAAAACTCAAGGACACTAGATGCAAAAGATTTGTTCACAGGTGGAAAAATATGGCAAGGAGGAAAATTGATGACATTTGGGTGTTTGAAAGACTGATATATGATGAGGAAAAGTTCTCTTTCCCTTGAGACCGAGGGAACAAAGGCCTAGTTAGGGTTGGACCTGTTGGTGTCATCTTCATTGCTGTGTGGGCTAAGCCTACCTGGACATGAAGCCAACAGTCAGGAAAACAGAACAGAAAAAGTAGGGGGTTGGATAGAAAGAAGAAAATTGATGGCATTGTTTAAACTTCTGAATGTATGTATACTTGAAACTGAATCAAAATCTCTTGCTTTTAGTTTGTGTAAGCCAACAAATTACCAGTTTTTCTTAAGTTTGTTTCAATTATTGGGATTCTGTCCTACAACACCAAAAGGGTCCCTCTATTGTAATTAATACTGATGGTCACAATACAAGTCTGGTTATTATGGTGATGGTTCAATTTAATTTCACAGCTATCATTAGAGTATAAATTTTGTGCTTGAAACATCAATATCAGGCATAGTTTTAACATGATTACTTATTCAATGAAAGGCAGAGACATAAACCTCATCTGTGTTTCTGTATGCATGTCTTTCCTCCTGCCCTTACTGGTTTTACCAAAGAAGCCCTGCAGCAATGCTACACATCAATAGTTAAAACTAGGGATACCTTTATTCCTTTTCCAGGTGTCTGATAGTACTTTGCCTTCAGCTCTTCTACCTTCTGAATGAAGAGATTATGGCCTCCTGGCTTAGAATAAATTCCCTTCTTCACTGCTTCTTCCAGAGGACCAAAAATATCCTGCAGTAAAGCTGAGCAACGATTCGACGACGCTTCCACGTTCTGTTTAAAAATGTTTTTCTTCTTTTTATTCAGTAGTCTCTTCAAAGAGATAAAAATCCATAGTGAAGATGCTAGAAATACTTTTCAGAAAGAACCTATATTTTTTTTCTAGAAACTTAGAAGAATATAAGCAAGATATCCTTCCCACCAAACCAAGAAAAGTTCCAAGGAATATACAGGAAAATGATATTAACTTTTGAGTTAGAAATCTCTTATTGTTTTTGCTTTAGGTTGTGATCTTCAGATTACAGACCTCTAGTTTCATGCCTTAATTTTAAAAGCAGTTTACTGTTTTATAACTTTCCTGGTTTCAGTGTTTTATGGGCTTCTATGGGATTTCCAATGAGAATGTAGATTTATATAATTGGCTGGAAGGACACCAGCCTATTCTGTTAAACCTGGATCTGTCATATTTTAGTAGAACCAACTGTAATTCTTTATGCCTGATTAATAAAAAAGAAAATGAATGAATACTTTGCAAATACAATTCTTCAAAGGAATAAAATTAACTCACCTTTTTATGTATATAACATAGTAAAATATAGGTCATATGCAGGGTCCAGAGTAGTGACTTGCTTGTTTGTTTTCATATTGAAGTGTTATCACAGGGACATAAGTAATTATTTTCCAGTCAGTACGAATTGCTTTTCTTAACTAAGTTTTATTTTATCATTCATAGCAATACTTTGCCTTCCTTTTTTTTTTTCAGTTGGAGTCTCACTGTCACCCAGACTGGAGTGCAGTGGCCGCTCCCGGCCACCGCAGCCTCGACCTGCTGGGCTCCAGC